ACCAAATACACAAAATAATGTTCTTTTTAGCAACATATATGACCCCTTTAAAACGGTATAATTTTCATTCCATATAACAAAGTATCAAACCAAGTGACATCTGCATAACAATGAATCTAGCTTTACTCAAAAATAATTTTACTATTCTAAGACAAATTTACAATAGTCCCACTGTAGTTTATAGTAACCACAGGTGTATTTTATCGCATCAACATGTTCCACAAATATAAAGTGTCCAAATACGTATTTAAATCCTAACAAACTTGTTTTTTTGTGGCAGTCCAAAACTACAAGCATGCCCAAAAAGCCCAATCAAAACCAACAAAGCGTCACAGTTGGCCATTAATTAATACCTTATGCTTTTTCAACATTTAATCTCAGGCTTGCTTGTGGTCATGTTTACAAAGCTCTTTTGTTAAACCACAGCACCATCTACTGGATATATTCAACATTACAATCTGCTACTACCTCATTGTTATCCCTTACAGGGCCCCCCCAAGCAGTGTTCACAATCTCCAGGTAAACTCTGCAGGAAAGTGGACCTCTAGGGCCAGAGTTGAGAACCCCTGAAATAGAATATAAATGACCATACATTCATTTAATATACTTGTGTGTATATAATACATCCAAGTACATTTAATGTAAAGTTATTACCAGTACTTTAAATAATATAAATTGTAATATTTAAGTGTGCCAAACGAAGTGATTTTTAATATGAAAACAAATGTAATTTGGTTATATATGATGTGTACGTTTATTTTCATATTAAGCATCACAACAGCCATTTTTCTCATTTATCACAGTTTATGAAAATAAATGTAATTTGGTTATATTAGATGTGCATACTATCAGTTAACACATTACAAAATTGTTTATTTTCATATATAACCCAACAGATATTAGTTTAGCACTTTTAAATAAGACAATTTAAATTAATAATAACAATATGTATTTAAATTCACTTGGATGTACTATATACACAAACATATTCATACTCAAATGATCGAACTTCTCAGGATGTTTAGAATGAACACTATTTGTCAAGTGAAGTGAACTTCAATGGATACCCCTTGCTTAGCAAATAGGGAGCACACTGTGTAGGGACCCTGCCAATCGAAACACAGCTCTTCGGAGCTTAGCTTTAACTCTAATTAAATGCACCTGAACTAAGTAGACCAGATGAACTGGAGCAGGTTGGAGCTAATTTCTGAAGGAAGGTGTCCCTCCATGATCAGGATTGGATAAACTTGCTCTGAAATGATTGCTCACAGTGGTGCAGGTTTTGCTGAAGTTCTGACACCAGTGTTAAATGGATGAAAGGAGTATGTTGTCCCTGTGCTCTGTAGGAATCCAGTGTTATGGAGGAGGAGCAGAGTGACATGAACGCCTGTATTAAACCCCTTTTATACACAGACAGTGACCTTACAGTGACTCCCATCATGGATAACCCAAAGGTAAAGAGAACTTCAGGATTTGAACTCATTGCCATGTCTGAGGGACTTACTGTCTAAACTCTATGTCCTTATTGTAGTGTAAATATGACAATGTTCTAACTAACACTGATGTTAGTTTGCTTCTCTGTTTTTAGATTTTAAAGACTTCTCCAGTTCGTTTTGACCCCAAAACGCTTTGTGTACAAGCACACTCAGGTAAATTGGAATATCTAGTGTTTTTTGATCATCTAAAATTATTACTTTTTTTTTTCATGAATCGTACTGCTCTAGTTTTCAAGTTCAGCTTACTTACTCATTAGCCTGTTGTATACAATCAACTACATGCCTGCTGTTGTCTTATTGATAGTTTATAATTTTTAAGGAACTAAAAAGCCTTTTAGTATAATAGTAAAAATGTCCCCTCTAGGTTATGCTACACAACTTTTTGCTGTGAACTCTCTACTGCAGGGGTGTCAAACTCAGTTCCTGGAGGGCCGCAGCCCTGCAGTGTTTAGTTCCAACCCTGCTCCAACACACAAAACGTAGTTTTCAAATAAGCATGAAGGACTTGATTAGCTGGATCAGGTGTGTTTAATTAGGGTTGCATCTAAACTCTGCAGGGCTCCGGCCCTCCAGGAACTGAGTTTGACACCCCTGCTTTACTGAATTTTATATGATAAATGTAAGAATAACCTTTGTATTGTTGGTAATATTTCAAGATGAACCATTAGTGGAATGAATCAACTTGGGCTTACTTGGTTATCTACAGTGTACAGTATGTGTGTATATATATGTATGTATGTATGTATGTATGTATGTATTAATTAATTTATTTATGTTTGTATTTATTTATGAAAAATCTTGTTAAAATGTAAATTTCTCAATCATCATTTTATTACATTGCATTATGTGTTTTGCCTAAAAAAACACACAGCTTTTATCATAAAACAACGCTTTTAAATATCATCTTACTAAGATATATTATTGGGTATAGAGTGACAACTGATATTTATATGCATTTTATGTAAGTAGTCTGCTATACTGTTTTTAAGATTTAATTCATTTTTATTATAATCAGAATTTCACCTTACTTTTTGGCCATATAAATTTTAGCAACTAGACCAAATGACATATTTTTGCTAAGTTTGGGCCTCTGAATATTAATTGAGGTGTTTTTTTCCACCTTGAGTATGAGCTCCATATTTTTCTATATCATGCTATATGAGCCATAAAAGCTTGATGTATTAAATATGATGCTTAACAAAAAGATACATATGCAAACTGTTTTTCAAATGAAAATGAAATGATTTGGGAAAATTGTCATCTATGCTTGCTTTACATTTGGTTGGGTAAAAAAAACATGTTACACTAAAACTACTGCTGAAAGGTCTATCTCTTCGTCTCTCTCTCTCTCTCTCTCTCTCTTAGCTGAGCGGTTGTCCTGTCTGAACTCAGAGGACTGGTCTCAGTTCCTGCAACAGGTGTGTGGTGTTCTGGAGTCAGTAGACCGGGCCGGATCAGCCAATGCCACAGCACCACGCACTAAACTCAACCTGCTCTGTTACTTGTGTACTGTCTGTAACCACAGAGAGACGGCCACACGCCTCATACACTCCCAGCTGGTAAGACGCATCGGAAACACAAGCTATTAATGTGATAATGTTCAGTCACATGGTCATTATCACAAAACCCATGACAGGATGACCAGGTATCATGTATAACTGATCTTGTGAAGGGGTTTACTTTGTAACAATGATCAGCTGACTAATGCTGCTGCTTAGTACACAACTACTTACTGAATAATAATAAATGTGAAGACTTATGATACAGATTTGAATTTAATTGTAATTATATTACCAGTAGATTCAGCCGAGTAACAACACAAACACTTGAACAATAATTAACTGCAGTTCTGGTTACTTATTTTGACTTTTTTATGTTCTATTTTAGCTTACATCTTTTGCTATAATGTAACATTCAAGTGTTCTTCTGTGTAATGATCAGAATCAGGTATTCCAGAGAACCGTGTAATAATAAAATACATGGCATTAACCTTCTGGTTGTCTTAAATAACTTAAAATGTAGCACTACAACACATTCCCATTCTGTGACATTAGTCATGCAATACCTTAAAGAGATGGTTCACCCAAAAATAAAAATTCTGTCTTCGTTTACTCACCCTCATGTAATACCAAACATTCATTCATCTTCAAAACACAAATGACAATATTTTTAATGACAACTGAGAGTTTTCTGCCCCTCCATCCCTTCTAAATTAAATGTTTATCATATAAAGTGATTGTGTTTCTTCAGAAGACTTGGATTAAACTTGATTCATTTGAATTACTTTTACAATGTCTTTATAAACGTTTAGTAGTTTTGGTGGCATGAACATTCAATGGAAAGACATAAATCTTCATTTATATGAATGTCTTCTGGTTTTGGAACATTAGGGTGAGTTAAATGATGACAATTTACCCAACAGCTGCTCTCACTGAAACAGTTGTTTCATACACCCTCATCGTGTGTGTATTTTAAATTAGATTCATGTATAAAAATGTATTTTGTAATAAAAAGAGACAAAGAGGACTTTTTAATCTGCAACCGTTCCATGCGGTGCACATTTCACTTTTCTTTTGCAATATTATAGAGCGGTTGAAAGTGTAGATCATCTAATGAGGGAAGTTGAACAATGGCGTGTCCGCTGAGGAATGGGTGTCTGCTGCTGTCCTCGCCTCTGTCTGAAAATGAGTTTCCTCTTCCTTAGCCATCATAAATGGAAACTGTAATCAGAGGAACTTAATAGATTCAGAATGTGTTGGGTTTCAGTGGTCCCTTAAGGTTTTATATTTATACTGAAACTTTAAGCCAATGTAAATCAGATAAATAACATTTCTCTTTTGGATTTGAAGTATCATTTGAGTTTATTTTATTAATTTAGTTATCTTTTTTTTGCCACAGTAGCTTGGACACCAGTGCATTCCTCCTCTGGCCACCAGGTGTCTTACCACCATTAGCATTTCCATTCATCTCATTGGCAAATGCTCAGGTTGAGCATTCTGGATACAGGGTTTTTCCTGCCGTAAATGCCATGTGACCAAATATTTTGGAGTCAGAAAATAATTTCTTGATGTGATGACAGCACTGACTGGGTGATGGCACACAGGCACTCTCCCAGCTCTTTACTAGGGATTATCCTTAGCTGTGACGTATAAAATCGTTGTTAGGGCCCTCCAAAAAAAAAAAAAAAAAAACTAGCAAAAAAACAAAAAAAAAAATCACAGGCTGATTGATTGAAATATGAAAATATATTGAAACATCTCAAAATCTGAAACATTTTTTGTCTCTCTCTTTTTGACATAGTTCCCTGTGCTGGTTCAACAGCTGCGACATGCTCCGAACTGGGATGTGTAAGTGTTACAATTCCTCAGGATATAATTCTGCAAAATCAACTTGGATTTACATGCAATGTAAAGAACAATTGAATTAATTGATCCAATACATTAGCTATCCAGTTGTATAATTTACCATTATACAGTAAAAATTACTGGATCATAACTAGTGTAGTATTCTCGGCTGACACTAATGGCGCCAGTCTTGGGAGGAGTGTCTGCTCAGAGAAATGCAGTGCCTGTCTCTCTCCTCTCAGTCCCTTTGGCTATGAGTGGAAGGAATGATAGGCATGTGTCTCACTGGCCCCTCACAGTATCACAGCCTCCACACTACAGTCATCAAGCAAGGGACAGAACAATTTTAGTTTTAAATGACACTGAAAACCAGCATTCAACACTGCTCTTTTAAGAGTGAGATGTGGTGTGGTTAGACAGTATTGCAAAAATAGTCAAGTAAAGCAGAATGCCATGAGAGATTGTGCATTACAGTGATTTTACAACAGGGTGTGTGTTGCAATCATGGTGTAATTATATATAATACTGTTTAAAAGTTTGGTGTCAGTATGATTTTTTTAGATTTTCAAAAAGAAATTTTTGAAAGACGTTTCTTATGCTCATCAAGGCTGCCTTTATTTATAAAATAAAGTAAAAACAGTGATATTGTGAAAATATTACAGTTTAAAATGACTTTTTTTCTATTTTAATGTTTTTAAAAAAGTAATTTACTCCTATGATGGCAAAGCTGAATTTTCAGCAGGATTCTTAGATGAATAGAAAGTTTATTTGAAAAAAGAACAACATGTATATGCTGACCCCAAACGTTTCAATGCTAGTGTATTTAAATGTATCTCTAATAATTTAAATAAACAGTATTTTAATATAGTCAATACATGTAGACTGTTTAAGGTTGCTAAACCAAATAGTAACTGGTGGTTCAAGATACAGTTGAGAAAAAAAAAACACTTAGATTAAAAAAGAAAATAAGTAGACCTCAATGTAAGAAAGATTCCATAACTTAAAAGATGGAATAAAATGTCATTATCTTTAAATGTCAGGTTTTAGCAAAATGGAACAGCTTTAATCAAGCAAACAGCTGGATGAGAGGCATTTAATTGTTAAAATTTGTGTTTTAGAAGGAGCAAAGTGATGAGAGTGATTGGACTGATGGCCTCCCACTGCACAGAACTCCGAGATAACGTTCCTGTCACAGAGGTGAGACTTGTGTGTCTGTGTGTTTAAAGCAAGATGGACATTTTCACATTAAAACATGACATTTTTTAAAATAACGAGAGACACCAGCAGGTGTCACTGTAGCATTTCTGTGTTTGCTTATTCTCAGCTTCCACTCAGAGGAGAAAATACTAAACAAAAAAAAAATATTTCTCAGCTCTCAATCCAAAGCACTTGAAATCCATTTAAAGCCAGGTAAAATTAGCTTTATACATCTCTATCTCAGCATTTCCAAATACAAAGGCAAGCATCTCATCCAAACAGGGTTATAAAAGCTTTCACTAATCATCAAAGTGCTGCTCAGATGCATTGTTGTTAATAAAAAAAAACTTCTTCCACCCCGATCCTTGATTTAACACTCGTTTGTCTTCCGTTTCCGCTACGAACTTCCCCACCTCTTTGTTCATGGAGATTTTCGCAGTACCACCCAGACTCTGCATGGAGAGCAGCACAAAATGGCCGTCCCTCGTAATCTAGCAAGGCCGAGTTTTTGGGGTGTTTCACACAATACAGGCTTAAACTTTGCAGCTTCTCTTGGCGTCTTCTTCTTTCTCACTTTTCTGGGCTCAGTGGGTCGGTATTGAAGAAGTGCTCAGGGTGACGGATTCTCTCCCCGGTGCTCTATGGGGGTTCTGTGTCTGAGCGGCCGATCCTGTCATGGCGATTTCTTTCAGTGCTTGTCTTTGGCGAGAGAAAAGCAGAGCTGCTTTCTTACGGTTCTTCTGCATTCTAGAGGGCCTTCCTAGATAATATTTTGAGCTAAAGGCTGGAATACACTACACGATTTTTTAAATCTTAACAGATTTTGTAAATGGGTACAGAAGAAAACTGGGCATCATACACTAAATTACTGAGGATTACATACTACAGATTTTCAGGTTGTTTCAAACATAAACTTACGCAGAAACATGCACCTCATTGCTAGGGGACACATGACATATAAAAGGAGTATATGTTCTAAAATCGGCTCAAAATATGAAAGGCTGCTGTTACAATAGCACAATAAATTCAGATCTGCACACATATAAACAAAACAAACAAAAAAAAACTGCACGAGATCCATTTTTTCACTTCTAAATGTAATTTTAAATAAGAGACATATCTGATATCTGGACATCTGACCTACAATACGTTGAAACATGCATATATGAGGGTGACACATTTACCCTCAAAGATTTTTTTTCCCTCTGCATGTTGTATAATGTAATGTCTTTTTATTTAGGCAGAGACTTTATATAGATTTATTACACGACTCTCTGGAATACTTGATTCTGATTGTCACGACCATTCTGAGGTGTCTTATTCCCTGATAACAACAGTCGTCAATAGCAATGCTGAAAAACATATTGCTCATCTGGCTATCTTAAGCTGGCAGTTCTTTCATCTCTCTGGCATCACTTTACAAACTCGCTCTCTCATTTCATAAAAATGTAGCTGCTGCCATCTTGTGTCTCTGTTATAGTTATAATTATGCTATTAATTTCAGTAACTTCAGTATTAATAGTACTGTAATATTGTTGCTGTGTTCATCTTATTGCCAGGATGATTTAGTACAGTGTAATGGATTATAAAATAATAAACAAGTGAGAAATTTAAAAGGGTTTAATCTCAAATCATTATCTCATGTGCCCATAATTATGTAAGTGCTGAAAAGCTGTATAAGAAGAGGTATGATTGTACCGTATTCCTTAAAGGGGTCATGAACTGAGAGATCAAAATTCCCTTGATGTTCATCCTGTAAGTTTCAGAACTCAAAACTTTCTTGTTAGTCTAAAAACAGCTTATATTGAAGCCAGTCTGCAAAAACGACAGGTTGTGGAATGTGCCACTTTGTGACGTAATAGTTTGGCTAAACACAGCCTCCGCAGAAGAAGATCAACGCCTGCTTCTACATCACTGTCTGTTTAGCTCCGCCCACCGATTTGCGCCTGCAGTAAGTAAATAATGAGAGAGGCAAATGCAGGTCTATGCAGAAACCAAATGATAAAGATGCTCCAAAGACAAGAAGTTTGTGCAGTGCCAAGTTGTGGAAAAACATGGTCTTTGCATCTGATCCCAACATTAGGAAAGAGCGGATGAACTTCATTTTTAATGAAGTTCTGGATCGCGTCAGTAAGAACTTCGTCCTTTTGTCATTTAATTTCACCGCGGATTCATTTACAAACAAGGCACAATTTGACACGGGATTAAATGTTTAAATGTTTATTTAATGGTTGCTCATTCATCTTGACTAAAAGACACTTGCTAGGAACTATTCTCCCCCCAAGCTTGGTTTTAGTGAGCTAATAAACTATTTAAACTTAAATCAATATTTTGTGTACAGTTATTTACTTATGCGGGAACTAGCTATGTAATAAATGGGAGAATGTACATTTAGCCAGTTGTTATCGCAAAATAAACCCCTTCAGGAAACAACCCTGATCACCACTTCAGGGTGATCCCCTTGTCGGGGTTTATTCTGCTATAAAAACAGGCTGAATGTACATTATTCCTCATGCGAGAGATTGCGCGCACACAGAAACAATCAGGAGCACAGAAACTTGTTTTGAGACACTGACCTCTGAGAATTTTATAAACAAAATGGCTTCACTACTAATTTTTGGTCACCAGGTGTTAATGTCGCTGTTTTTGAAATAAGATTCATTCAAATAAATGTAATTTTACTGCTTTACTTTATTTCACCTCAGAATTATAAATCTAATGACCTGTAGATAAAATAGCTATTGAAAATCTTAATATTTTTATCCCTTCAGTCAAATTTTATGCTGCAAACTTTAAGTGAAAAACATCTTTAAATTGTCCATGCTGGCAAGAGATCATTGTATAATTGGCATAATCACATCTGATGTGCATTAAAGTAAAAAACAAAAAACAAACAAAAAAACACCCGATGTAAATTATATAAAGTTTCAAAACCCAAGGGTTAACCAGGTCGCTGAAAGCCATCACCAATGGAATCATACTAGTTTGGGGAGGAATTAATGTAAACACGGATACTGTATACAAGCCTTGTCTTAAGTGAATGTAAACAGGTGAGACAACAATCATATATGGTCAGAAGATCAGATCTGTGCATTGAGCCTTTCATTGTATAAGTACATGCCGGCAAGCATGTTTGATTTCATGAAACTAAAAAAATCAGAGTCTGCTCATCATACAAATGATATTCTGTGAAACAATCAAGGCAAAAGTTGTGTAGTGTATTCCAGCCTTAATTGTACATTATTTCTTGAGAGATTTTATATAAAATGAAAGTCACAATAAGGATTTTGAGCTGTAATGAGTGTTCTTTGTGCATGCTGGAAGGTTTGCAATAAGAGCATCCTCATAGATAAGTTTCACCCACTGGCAGTATCCATTATCTAAAAGAAACTTGGGCTAATTCGTTGTCATGGCAACCATAAAAGCCTCTATAAATAGAAATGTCGCACAGGGGCTTGATGCAGGAGGAAGGAAATTACAGAATTACAGGTAGAGCAGAAAAGTCTCCTCAGAAAAATTTCAATTGCTTTTTTTTTTTTTTTACGCGCTTGGGTCCTTCTCCCTCTGACGTTCAGTTAGCTCTCTAATCCTCCCTGAAACCCTCTGTGCCTGTTTTCGCCATGAATACTTGAACACTAGTCTAATGAAGTGGTAAATTAATCATTGTCCTTGGCACCGGCAATCCCCCCGTGCCCCTAGCCTAAATTCACAGTTACTCTCAGAAGAGCCTGACAGTGTTTCCCCTGACCAATCCCATTACACACTGCTAAGAATTACAGCGGAGCCATCTGAAGGAGGTACCACAGGGATGAGCCGGTTTCAATTTTTTTCACTTCTTTATTTATTTGATGGTAAACCATTTTCTGGAAAGTCATTTTAAAGTTACTTCTGCCATATATATTTCATAGAGAAATGTATTAAAAATCCAGATTCTGTCAGTGCATAAAGGCATCGCCATCTGCAGTGCCTTGTGCCGGAGGGAGTGAATATTTCAGAGTTGAATTTTAAGTGGCACACAAGAGTATCGGTGTGATTGGAAACTAGTGAGAGAGTATCAAGGGCACTCTGTTTCTCCCTCGCTCTGCCCCCTGGAAGTCTAAGACACAGTTTGACTGCATTTGTCTGACTGACTCTGGGAATAATATTGATTCTCTGAGCCTCAGTTGATCAGATCTGCATCTCACAATATGTCCTCTATGGTAACTCCCACTTCTTGTGTCCTTTGTCTTGCACTGTCGATATCGTTGTTAGGATTATGAATTTTAAATATGGTTTTTGGTGTGACAATATTTTCATCCAAGGTCTACAAAGTCAAAATGTTACTTAAGTTGGAAAACTCTTAATGTGAGTTTAAGTGATTTACATTATATATATATATATATATATTTAACTTTTTAATTAGTCAAAAAGAAAATATGCTGGCTGATAAAATACTCCACTCATTTACTTCCACATTATATTAACATTATTAGAGAGATTTCAGAAACTGACTGAAATGAAGTAGGAGTTGCATGAACACATTTGCACACTTCAATGGATATTGATTTGAATTAACTTTGGTAGTTTCTTCATATGGGCACTTTTAACTCATGTAGAGCTACTCACTAGATAAACAGGATGCTAGACAAAGAGATTCTAGTATGTTACTCTCTTTGTAATTGATCTGACAGTCTTCATGAACTTACTGTATCAAGTTTACATAATAATATAGAAGTCATTTTAGAAGTCATGTCGTTTTATCCAACAGAGATCAAATATAGATTTATATCAATAGACATCTCATTTTGTGTCTTCCTGGACACTCAGTTTTGGTTCTTATGTTACTGTCTTTATTTTGCCATGCAGAATTCTTCCACAATTCAGAATAATAAGTCAAAATGATATATAATAAAGAATAAACTATATGTTAACATGATTGAATAACACAAAATTAAGTATGGAAATGATGTAGTGATAAAAATAAATAAATAAACATATCATAAGATCAACGCCTGCTTCTACATCACTGCTTATTTAGCCCCACCCACCGATTTGTGCATGTAGTGGAAATAACGAGAGAGGCAAATGCAGGTCTACCCAGAAACCACACAATAAAGCTTCGAAGACAACAAGACGCTGTACAGTGCCAAGTTGTCGACAAACAGTCTTTGCATCGTCTTTCTTCTGAGATGTTCTCTTTAAGACTTTTTTCAAAAACATTTAAAATCTTACTGACTACAAACTTTTGAGCAATAGTGTATATATTTAAAAAAAATAATCTCTTATTTCTGATATCTTATGTCTGAATATCACAGAATGAGTTTCATCGTACTCCCGCGAATAGAAAACATCCTAATGAGCTGTATTAATTAATATGCATGGCACGACAGAGTGACATTAGTGACATCAAACACAGGTGTATTTCCATAAAGTTGATCAGAGCTAATGGACTGCAGATATATACACAGAGACAGCTGTTCCTTAACCATAAAACCCTATTAAAGTGCAAATCATCACTAGAACAATGAGATTAAACATATTAAACTACAAGAGAGAGAGTTTTGGATTAGCTTTGTTTGTATTAAGGATAGGATTGCTCTCCGGTGGCACAGTGCAGCATTAATTATGCTTAATACACGTTTCATAATGAGCCAAATAGACCTCAGGTAGAATCCGGCTCAGTCACTTCAGTCTTGAGTTTCTACCTGATTTCAGGACAGAGGATTGCTCCACAGTCTTCTCCAGTATGCAACCTCTGTGCAGCTTAAACCTTTTAATACCCAGCTTGACACGCGCTATGTGTGTGTGTGTGTGTGTGTGTGTGTGGGTGTCAACAATAATGTTTTCTAAAGCAGGATAGCATGTGTATGTGCGTTTATGTGCATGTGGATAATAGCAGCATGCTCTAGAAGGGAATTTGTGTGTGTGTGTGTTTGTTTGTTGATGATAATGATACGTTCTAGAGCAGGAATTACTTTGCATGCGTGGCTGAATAAGACAGCTTAGCCTTGTTTGTTTCTTCCTGTGTAACAGGAATCATCACTGCATGTCTCTTGCTGCCGACATCTGTTCCCTGGAAAGTCATCACTTATGAGACTTTAACCGTCACAGGGCCAAAAGTGCTACACAGGGCATTTGCATTGCATCCTACTAAGAGAACGACTGCAGAGAGAGAAGCATATATACTTGCTCATCTGAGCACTCAGAGAGACAGAAGATAATACAATGCTAATGATTAACGCCAGAGATCTGTGGATGAAACCTGTATTTAAAAACACAGGCCAAAAACTGCAGGGAAACAGACTGAATGTATTGAGTCATCCTGAACTCGTGGCATCTTATCAAATGCTCTATAGTAAGAAATTTGTCTCTTTTGGATATGAAACATTTCCTGCCCAGTGTCTTTTTGGGAAATATAGACACAGGAAGCAAAGCTCACCCCTGTGTCATATTAAAACCAGTTTTTCTTAAATTGTTGGAATATAAATGGAGATGTTTTAATGTTCTCTCATGTTTTTTGTCTGTCCATTGAAAGTTTGCACCACCAGAATTTTCAACCTTTCAAAAGTTCATAAAGCTTGTAATAATCCATTTGAATCAAGTGGTTTCATTAATAACGTCTTCTGAAGAGACACAATCACTTTGTATTACTTAGATTTTATTCACATAAAACATTGATCAATGCACATACATAGAGCACATCTAATATGATAACTGGCAGCTCAAATGTGCTTACTTGCGAAGGTGAATATTTTGGGTGAACTATACATTGAACGTATTTATAGTGCTTATAAATCAAACTATTTATTACAAATTTGTGTTTGGTTTATTCCTCAGGCAGTTGCCATGTTCACAGAACTGATCCGTGAGAACTTCAGGAGCAGCAAATTGAAGCAATGCTTGATTCCACCCCTGGGGGAGCTGCTCTATGTCATTGCTACACAGGTATAACAAAATTAAGTTAAATATTTGACTAAAATAATAGGGCTCAGACAAAATGCATGTTATTTTTTATTTAGTACTGACTGAATAAGACATTTCACATAAAATACCTTTACATATAGTCCACAAAAGAAAATAATAGTTGAATTTATAAAAATTACCCAGTTCAAAAGTTTACATACGCTTGATTCTTAACCCTCTACCGCATGGTGTAGCCATATGGCAACATACTCTTTGTGATACGTCATAAATAGAACGAGGCATCAGTTTACTGTCGGGGATGTGTCATGTCGTGTCGCATCCATTGTAAACAGTCACTGATTATAATGGTTTCTATAGTATTTTGTCGCACTGCTCGCGTCCAATGTAAACATGGTACGCCTAGTTATCTATTGTGGTAATTTGCAGGTCATGTCAAAAATTTGTTGGTTTAGATAAATAGCTGTATTCTGTACGTTTGACTCGTGTACGATCATTTTCTTCCAAATACAATAATTTTGAGCTTCTGCTGCGATACTTGGCCAGTCAGTTTTGATATTGTGATGAGCCGCCACAAATAACTCAATGCATAGGAAACACTGGACTCCTTTTTAATGGTTAAATTAAATTGTATTAATCAAAAA